GTCTGCAGTGGCCAGGGCTAACATTAGCCCGTCTGCAGTGGCCAGGACTAACGTTAGCCCGTCTGCAGCAGACAGGGCTAACGTTAGCCCTTCTGCAGCGGCCTGGACTAACGTTAGCCCGTCTGCAGCGGCTAGGACTAATGTTAGCCCGTCTGCAGCGGCCAGGACTAATGTTAGCCCGTCTGCAGTGGCCAGGGCTAACGTTAGCCCTTCTGCAGCTGCCAGGACTAACGTTAGCCCGTCTGCAGCGGCCAGGACTAATGTTAGCCCATCTGCAGCGGCCAGGGCTAACGTTAGTCCATCTGCAGCGGCCAGGACTAACGTTAGTCCGTCTGCAGTGGCCAAGGCTAACGTTAGCCCGTCTGCAGCGGCCAGGGCTAACGTTAGCCCTTCTGCAGCGGCCAGGGCTAATGTTAGCCTGTCTGCAGCGGCCAGGGCTAATGTTAGCCTGTCTGCAGCGGCCAGGGCTAATGTTAGCCTGTCTGCAGCGGCCAGGGCTAATGTTAGTCCGTCTGCAGTGGCCAGGGCTAACGTTAACCCGTCTGCAGAGGCCCACTCTCTGCATAGCCTAGTGTGAAGGACCGCTGGCTATAGTGAGGGGCCATTTGAAAAAAATTTCATTTGATTTGTGTTTATCTGACTGTGTTCATTATTATTCCTCCACTAAATTAAAAAAGTCATAATTTATTATTATCTAGAGACTATTAATAACAGGAGGTTAAACGCAGCTCCAGACTAGCTTTGAATTTGGTGATGTCATCAGTACGCTTCTGTTCCAATTGATCCAGATTTATTCAGCGTGCTCCCGTTCTCCCAGAGTCCAGACTTTCCTGGGTTCTAGTCAGGAACAGACTTGGCGAGTCCATATTCGCGTGGTTGTAAATGGAACTAAACTAAAACCAGGCTTTGGTGGGCTACTGTATAAAACCTGGAACTAAACGCTATTTCTGACATTTTGAATTGAAAAATCTTCCTGGATGGAAGAGAAACGTCTTCAAACCTGGAAACAAAGTCCAGTGGATTGTTGTTGTTTTTTTTACTTTTTGCGAATTTTAACGTAA